ACAAACTCAGGAAGGAAGTGACTCAAGGGTAAGCAGGGCTGGAAGAAACCAGCGGCGCAGACACCTTCTTGTCAGCCACAATGAAGCGGATGGGGGTAGCGAAAAGAGGGCAGGGGAGGACAGGCCATCCTCACCCCAAGAGAGCTCAAGGAAAGGCAGAGCAAAGCCCCACAGCACCCAGAGTTTGCATTTCCTTGAGTTGTTTGCTTTGAAAGGAGGTTCCAGCGCCCTTCACGCGCGGTTCTCCCCCGCCCTCCCAGCACTGCCCACAGTCCAGCGGGGAGCTGGGCTCCTGCACAGACACCTCCCAGCACCCCTGGCTTGGGCATGGGGCAAGGGATGGGCTGCTTCCACCCAGAGTTCACCAGGAGCAGGGTGGTGGATGAGAGCTGGTCTGTTGTCCCTCTCTCAGGGCAAGGGGGACAAGGATCCTTCACCTTCCCTGGGCCACACCAAACACAGGGCATGGTTGTGCTGTGGCAGCAGCTAAAGGTGGCTGCCAGCAGCCCCATAGCACATTCCAGCTCAGCTCTGCACTCCCACACCAACCTAGGAAGCTACAAAAAGGTTGGCTGGAGCTAAGTACCCAGCCCTGTTGGTTCTGGCCTGCAAAGCAGCTCTGTCCTGTCACAGAAGTTGTCTGAGCTTACCCCAGTGGCCACCACTCAGCCACAGGTGGGAGAGCCACGGACAGACAGCATGGAAACCTGTGGCTCCCACAGCCCAAGAACCACCTGGCACAAGTGGGACACGGGGCTGTTTCTGCCTGCAAACTGGAGCACCAGGAGCAGCAGCCGTGTCCAGCACCTCGTGCTGCATCAGTGCCAAAACTCCATTCCCCAAGGGCACAACAGGAGCCAGTCTCTGGGTCACTCCGTGTGAAGCTGGGCCTCGTGCCTGGAGGTCACAAACCCTGCTGCTCGTTTTGAACCAAACCTTGCCATCAGGAACCCGAACGTCATGGTCCACCGCGGTCACTGTGCCAGGAGTACTTACACTTAGCCTGGTTTTCAAGCAGCTTGGAAATGTTTCTGCCCGTGCAAATTTAATTTCCCTGCTTTTTGCTCCAACAAATCTAATCTCCAAAGCCCTCTAACTGGATTTCAGCGGGTCTCTCAGGCTCCAGGATGGCTCGGTCTGGCCAACTGCACACCAAGGGGGCAAGGGAGGACTGTAGTTCCCCACCACATACGTGATTTACTGAACTCATCCATGCCTGGCTGAAGCGGATCTTCTGTGCAAAGGACCAGGTTCCTGTGGCCGACTCCCCATCCCCTCCTGAGGCTTCTCCACGCAGCTCTCCCGCACCTTAAGGCAGCCGCGCTGCTGCCGGGCTGCATCCCGCACGGGGGGCTGGAATTCGGCCCCGGAGCTCCGGGAGCCCCGCGGATGGGGCCGGGGCTGCGGTGGAGGCGGAGAACGGGTGGGGCTCCCCGCCGCACTTTCGGGATCGGCCCGTGTGTGGGAAGCAGCAGTTTACCGGACTGAAATCAACTTTTTTTCTCCTCTTACGGTACCCAGAGCTGCCGGTGCCCGCCGTGCCGGAGCAGCGCCTGGAGCGGGCAAGGCGGGACGCGGATCTGCACCGGAGAGGCCGCCCGGGAGGGAGCTCAGCACCCTCAGAGTGAGCACAGCACCGGACGGGAGAGCTGAATGCCTGTGCCCGGCTCTCACCGCCACCTCCCCGCTCCCCGCCAAGGCCGCGATGCCCCGGGAGGGACCGCCCCGGCCGAGCCCCGGGGCGGCACCAGCGGGGCCTGCCGCCCTGCCAACTCCGGTGCCCGGCGCCGCTCACCTTCGCGGGCCTTGAGCAGGACGGTGTTGGCGACGATGTTCTCCAGCTCCATGGGCCCGCGGGCGCCGCCGCCTCCCGCCGGCTCCGCTCGCCGCGCTCGGCCCGCGCCCGCCGCCCCCCGCCGCCGCCGCCGCCGCCGCGCCCCGCCCCCCGCGCCCCGCCCGGCCAATGCCTGCCCTCGCTCCTCCCGCGCCGCGCTCCCATTGGCCCGTCCCCTCGGAAAGCCCCGCCCCTCCGCAGCCCCACCGCCCTCCAGTTGGCCCCGCGAGGTGCGGAGAGTGGGGCGGGCTTAGAGCAGTGACGTCATGCGGCGGCCATCGGCGGAGCGCTGCCGGGACGAGGGAACGGGCGCTGATTGGAGGGCGAGATGTCACTCAGGGGGCGCCGCGAACGGATTGGGAGACAGTCAAGGACGCCCATACAGGGTGCCCAGCCTCCCGCGCCATCTGATTGGGCTGTGGAGCCGCCACTCAGCCGCAGAGCGGTCGTGATAGGTCGGTGTGTGGTGGGTGGGGCCGAGCTGTTGAGTATAAATAAGCGCTGTGGCTCAGTGGCCGCTGTGAGGGTTTCCCGGCCGCGGGGAGCTGGGAGTGTACCGGCCGCGGTCCCTCGGGCCGCCGTGTCTCCGCCGTGTCCTGTGCTCTCCTGGCAGAGCCAGTTACGTGTTTAGGGGAGCCTCAATAAAGTCTGAGCAGCCACGCGTGTTTCCGCCGTGTCTCGGTCAATCCCGGTCACCGGGTGGGTGACCCAAGCTCCGGTGCTGAGCCCCGTTTCCCTGGTCACCGCTGCCGTGGAGGTTTGGGTTTTGTTATCCCTCGGAGCATCTGACCCTGACAGCTCATGTGCTGTTCTGGTGTTTGAGCTTCCACCAGTTGCTTAACACCAATTATTCTCTCTAAAAAACATTATTTTTAACTTATACCAAAATGAGCAGCAGCGTTACCCTGTCTGAAGAAAAGCTGTGCTATGGGAACCTTTCCCCACCTGATCCCCAGTCACTGGTTTCCCTGTGTGAGCACCCCTCGATGACCTGTCAGCCCCTCGGGTCACCTGCCTGTCTCCCTGCTTCTCCTGGGCACAAAACCTGCCCAAAACATCTCCTGCCCATCTCCCTCTCCTGGGCACAAAACCTGCCCAAAACATCTCCTGCCCATCTCCCTCTCCTGGGCACAAAACCACTCATTAATCTTCTTAAACCAAGTGGTGTCTGCCCTGCTTTGTGCTGCTCCTTGCCTCTGCCTTCCCATGGCTTCTGCCTCTTGCTCCAGCCCACGGGAGATGTCTCCTTCTGCCCCAGGTGTGAGGCTGGTGCTGGCCAGGCCATGGAGGAGATGATGGGCAGGTCCCTCGCCTGGTTTCTGTTAATGGCAGCCTGGGCCCATGGCAGGAGAGATTTTGGGTTCATGTCCTCAGGCGGTAGTGAGGATGATAATAACACAAATTACTCCAAGCACTCCCTGTCCATGCAGTCAGTACTGCCTGTGGCTGCTGTACTCTTCAGCATCCACTGGAAATCAGATGTCACATTTTCAGGGTATGAATCTGCAGGATGATGAGGAGGAGGAGGATGCTTTGTCTTGCCACACCTTGGGGGTAATCTCTCTGTCACTGCCTGGAGGGATGAGCTCATGGTGTGAGAGCTCCTCTTTTAGTGCTGCTTTCTTTCCAAAGCTGGCACATGTTTATTTTGGACTTAAAATGAGATTACTCTGTTTCCATTCATTTCCAGCATTAACCCTTGGGTTGCTATTTTCTGTTTCCTCCCACCTGGCATTTTGCAGCACCGTTCCCATCACTGACAAGACTCATGGACAACGGGAGGCTGCTGAAGCAGCACCAGTGTTCAGAAGATCCTGGAATCCCCAACAGATCCAGCAGCAGCTCAGGTGGTGGAGCTGCCACTCTGCTTTTTAGCTCTGTGGAGGGAGCTGTGCGCTCAAGCCCAGGAGGATGGGCAGTGCCTGGTACCCTGGTTGGCACCAGGGTGTGTGGCCTGGGGACTGTGGGGTCCCGGGGTGCCCCCTGGGAGAACTGGCCTGGCTGGGTCCCCACTAGTTGCACTCATCTGAGTATTTTTAGAAGCAAAATGTTGTTTAGTTTTGAGAAGGAGAATGGTGGTACGGGAGGGGAAGCTGGGTGGCAGTGATAGGGCAGCTCCTTCCGCAGGCAGTGCCCGTGCAGCTCCAGCTGCTGGGGCCAGACGCCTCTGAGAGTCAGCTCTGGGACCCACCCCAGCCCGATCCCACTGGGAACCTCTGCTGACCCCAAAGCTCACACCATGAGCCTCCCCACATGGGGCCAGCAGGCACAGTGATGGCCCAAGGTTCCTCACTGCTGTGAGTGCCCCCATCCCATCCAGCCCCCCAGACCCCAGCTGAGCTGCACCCACCCTGACGGGGGCTGGGGGGGCTGGTGGGGGCCAGTGTTCCTTGGGCTCCAGCTCCCAGGCGCCAGCAGCTGTTTTTAGCCTAAAGAAAGTCTAATGTTTTGAGATTTTCTATTTTGAGCAGCAAAGCTGAAGAAGTGGAGCAGCCCCTGACCTCTGGGTGTCTGTGCAGAGCGAGGCAGGCAGCCAGGCAGGGTGGGTGTGGGGCGGATTCTGCCCCCCAAGGGGGATGTGGTTGTCCCCGGGTCTTCGCCCCACAGCTGCCTCTGTGGCCTCTTGCACGTCAGGCTGTGCCGGAGCCTGTTCCCATGCGATCCCATCTCTGACACTCTCCCAAGGGAGAGAGGCCTTTCTGGCTCTGGGATATCATTCCTCCTTTCCCTCCTGCAGCAAGATCCCAGTACAGTCCCCGAGCAGGATGTGGGCTGTTCCACACCAGACCTGCAGCCCTTGTCCCCCACCATGGGCACGTGTGTGCCCTCACGGAGCCCCCATGGCATAGCACAGCTGGTGTGATCCCAGAGGGGACAGCCCTGGCAGAGAGAGACGGGGCTCGGACTGGGCTGCTGTGATGGCACAGCCACAGGGAGGGTTTTTTTCTCCTCGCAGCAGCCATGGGGTCCATCCCTACACAAGAGAGTGCTGGGGACACAGACATTCATCTGAGAGTGGGGAGGGCCAGTACTCACTGGAGCTGCCATAGCAAGTTGTCACCACCACTGCTGCAAGGTGTATGTGTGGGGTGATGCGGGTGACAAAAGGTGCTGGCAGTCAGTGCCACTTTCTGGGCTCCCTGGAGGCAGGCGCCAGCCGCAGGCACAGGGTTTGGTCTCATTTTATTCAATCCTGCATTTCCAGAAGCACCTTGAGCTGCACGCTGGCACTGCCATCCAGGGCCTGTGGTGTGGCCAGGTGCTGTGAATGCTGAGCAGGGCTGGGGAGCACGTCCCTGGTGTCCCAGTGGGTCCCTAAGTGCGGTGCCGGTGGGGGACGGCGAGGAGCCGGCGGAAGGCAGCACGGAAGTCCCGGTTGAAGAGGGTGTAGATGAGGGGATTGACGCTGCTGTTGCAGTAACCGATCCAGAAGAAGAAATTGAAGAGAGGCTTGGAGACATGGCAGCCCTGCCCGCAGAGAGCCCCCAGGCTGTAGGTGAAGAAGAAGGGGAACCAGCACAGCACGAAGGCGCCCATCACCACCGCCAGCACGACAGTGAAGCGCCGCTCCCGCGCCCGCACCAGCCGCCGGCGGCACAGCAACACGCTCTGGTGCTGGCTCCGGCGCCGCCATCTCAGCATCCCAATGCCCGACACCTTTCCATCTCCGCTGGCGGGGCGCGGGGAGCGGGCAGCGAGCAGGGCGGCCGTGCGCTGGGCGGTCAGGCGGTAGATGCGGCAGTAGACAGCGACCATGACGAGGCAGGGCACGAAGAAGGAGGCGGCACAGGAGGCCAGCACGTACCAGGTCTCCTGGCTCAGCTGGCACTCGTGCCCACCCGTCCGCGGCCGCAGGAGCGGTGGCAGTGCCACCAGGGCCGCCGCCGCCCAGACCGCCCCGATCATGCCCTTCACCCGCCGCGGGCTGCGGCGCAGGTTGAGCCGTGCCGCCCGTGTCACGGCCCAGTAGCGGTCCAGGCTGATGGCACAGAGGTGCCCGATGGACGCCGTGCAGAGAAGCACGTCCAGCGCCAGGTACAGGCTGCACCACAGCCCACCAAAGTACCAGTAGCCCATCACCTCGTTGGCCAGTGAGAAGGGCAGGACGAGGACGGCCACCAGGATGTCTGCTGAGGCCAGGGACACGAGGAAGAGGTTCTGTGGGGCTTGCAGGGCCCGGCTGGTGGAGATGGCCACCACCACCAGAGCGTTGCCCACCAGCGTGGCCAGCAGGACGGACAGGGCTGCCAGCAAGATGAGCCCCGTGGCTGCGGGTGAGTGTGGGGCACTGCCAGCGCCGCTGCCGTTACCGGAGGTGTTGGGAAGGGCGCTGGCTGGCTCCATGCTGGCCCAGCCCCTCAAGCAGATGAAGCCCCATGGGGCTTTTCCCCACCCTGCTCACCGGTCCTGAAGCAGCTGCGGGTGCAGTCCCAGCATTGCTGAGTCTCCAGGGGGTTCTCCCAGCTGCCACTACTCCTGCACCGACCCAGTCTGGTGGCAAGGTCGTCCTGGCCCAGTGGTTGCCCGGCTGGGCACGCGGGACAGCGGCAGTGCCGGGAGCACTGAGAGGCTCCCACGGCAGCACTGCTGGCTGTGCTGGTCCCAGTCCGGAGGAGGGCGGGCGGGAAGGAGGGAGGGAGGGAAGGGTGGGCCGATATCACTGGCAGGAACCCAAACATCTGTGGGCAGTGGGAGAAGCTGTAATTGCCATTTAAAGGGCTCTTTTCAGGGTCACCATGGCAGGAGGGCTCCAGCCACGGGTGCCAGGGTGCCTGGTGGTGCAGGGGCACGGCCCAACCATGCCAAGTCATCATCCTGCTGATCCCAGCTCAGCAGCATCACAGCAGCCCAGGACCTTGCTTAGCTGCCCCGTGGGGTGCCTCACTCACTGATATGATGCCGTGGCACACAGTGGGGCACCATGGACCCTGCCAGCTCAGCTCTTTGGGGACAAGGCAGGGGGAAGAAGATGCTGCCTGTGACAGCTCAGTACAGAGCTACAGGTGGCTACAGAGCTCAGGGTTTAGCTGTGGCATCATCACCATGTGCCCCACAGCACGAGCAGAGTATTGGTGTGTCCCCAGCACCGGCTGAGCTGAGTGGTGGTGTGGGGGGTACCTGTGACAGCAGGGTTTGCAGAGAGAGGACCCAAAGAGACACACACAGAGGCATCAGCGCTCCCCCTTTATTAGACACCAGCTGAGCAGGGACAGTGGACACCAGCGGCTGCAGGAGCAGCAGCCCGGCTGTGCACTGCCAGCTAGAGCCGTGTGGCACCGTGCGGGAGCGGGCGAGGGGAGCCCACCCGCATGGTGGGGCTGGGCATCTCCTCGGGGTAGGAGAGCGCGGGGTTGTCCAGCCCCAGCCTGGCCTTGTCGCGGGGTGCGCCCTCGGGCTCCTCCCAGCCCTCGGGGCTGCGGCAGCGCTCGGTGCAGCACAGCGTGGCCTGGGTGATGGCGCGGTCCAGGGGCTGCAGCGAGTGCATCCAGGCGGGGAGGAAGTCCCAGGTCTGCAGCCACTTGGGCAGGCGCCCGGGGCTGTGTGCCTGCAGCGCGTTCACCAGCCCCACAAAGAAGAGGAGGGCGAGGAAGGGCGCGCCCACCCCCACCAGCACCCGCCAGCCCGCCATGGAGATGCCGAAGATGAGGGAGGGCAGCAGGAGGAAGCAGATGATGAGGTACAGCACGGCAAACCAGCGGTACTTGGCCGTGCGCTCACCCAGCGCCTTGGCCATGCGGATGGGCAGGCGGGTGAAGGGCAGTGGGTACCACAGCAGGATGCCCGAGATGTTGAAGAAGAAGTGGCAGAGAGCAATCTGCAAGGATGGCATCCCCATCAGGCTGGGCACGTGGGTTTTTCCCAGCCCCTGCCCTGCCTGGTGGCCCCATCCAGCCCAGCCATGGCCCCAGGCTGACTGTACCTGGAAGGAGCTGGCCAGCTTGTCCCCCGGACTGGCCAGGGCAGCCAGGATGGCAGTGGTGGTGGTGCCAATGTTTGAACCCAGGGTCAGTGGGTAGGCACGCTCAATGCTGATCACCCCCAGGCCTGTGGGAGAGGCACCCCATCACTCCTGGCAGTGCCATCCCCATGCTGTCCCAAGGAGGCACAGCTCCTTTTGTCCCTCCGAGTGCTTTAGCACCCACAGGCCAGGGGATGGCACATGGCAGGGCATGAGGAATGGCTGGGACTCACCGATCAGGGGTGTGATGGCCGAGGTGAAGACAGAGCTGCTCTGCACCACGAAGGTCATCCCAGCACCCACCACCATGGCGAAGTACCCAGTGAGCCAGCTGAGCGGGTGTGGGAGGTCTGCCACGGCATGGCCACGGGCATGGACACAAACGGGGACATGGGCATGGCCACATCAGGGTTGGGGATCAGGGGCAGCCACGGACAGGTCTGAGGATGGCAGGTGGAGATGGGCATGGGTGGCCATGTGGCAGGTGGTCCCCATCCTACTCACCAGTGTTGATGACCTTCTGGATGGCTTTGGCCACCTGCCCCTTGAGCAGGGAGTTGAGGAGTTTGACCAGGAGGATGAGGCAGGTGCAGAGCACGACAAGGGACCCGGCCAGCAGCACCAGCCCCACGGCCAGGTCAGGCAGTGGTGTGTCGGTGAAGAGGTGCTCACCTGCCCCACAGCACGGCTGGACAAGGGGCTGGGGCTGGCCTGGCCCCGCTCACAAACCTGCCCCCACAGACAGCCCCACACCTGGACCCCAGCACAACATCTCCCAGCCTTACCCCACATCATGACTCCAGCACTTCTCCATCACACATACAACCCCCAGCCCCACTTGCACCTCCCCAGCCCCATATCCTGAGCCCCAGCCCTGCCCAAGCCCTCCACACCCACTCACACTTCTGCCTGGTGACGTTGTGAAGGACCTCGATGCCCTTAGTGCTGCAGTGGCCGGGGGATGTGCAGTTTGGAGGGGGGCCAAGCCCCACCGTGGCCATCTGCAGGGAGAAGGTGGGCTACAGCTGGCTCCACAGTGTCCTCCGCCAGCCCTTGCCCACCACCCATCCTCTGTGGGAGGGTTTGGTAGCCCCAGCAGGGCCACAGGCCCCTCACCTGTGGGGTTGCAGGTCCACACCAGACGCGGATGAGGCTCCGGTTGCGCAGGCTCTCGTCCCCTGTCGCGATGCCCGTGATCACAGACTTGTCCAGCTGCAACAACACACATGTTGGAGAGGGTACCTGGGGGCTAACAGCTCCACAGGCTGGCAACATCTTCACTGGCATGGGGACACCACTGCCAGCCTGGGGACACTTGGATACAACCGCCATCAGAGGGACACCAGTGCTGGGGACATCCCCACCAGGCTGGGGCATACATAACAGCTGAGGAGACCTGGATGATGAGCTTGGTGAAGGGCTCTGTGATGATCTTCAGCAGGTCGGGGGCATCCTTCCCACTGCGGATGTTGAAGGTGGCCACAACCAGGCGGGTGACGTGGTGCAGGTACCCACTCGCCACCTCCAGTGGCAGCAGCACCAGCACTGACAGCCAGTTGAAGCAGTCGTGCACTGTGGCACCAGCAAAGGCCCTGTGCAGAATGAAGGAGCCCGTTGGCGTGAGGTGGTCCTGAGGAGCAGCCCCCAACCCCAGAAGTGTCCTCATGTCCTCTGACCCATCCAACTCTCACCGTTCGAACTCACTGCGGTCACCAGCCTGCATGAGGGCCACGATGGTGTTGGTGACCGAGGTGCCGATGTTGGAGCCCATGATGATGGGGATGGCAGAGCGCACCTCCAGCACTGGGGACAGAGAGACCTGCTAGCCTTGCATGGCCCGGCTCAGGGTGACCCCATCCAGCCATCCCCTCCCTCAGCCTCAGGCCCCCAGCAGCCTCAGGGGCACACTCACACCCTGAGGAGACCATGCTGACGATGATAGAGGTGGAGGTGGAGGAGCTCTGCACCAGCACAGTCACCAGGATGCCCACCACCAGCCCAGCCACTGGATTGGAGAGGATGGCATTGTCCTTGAAGATGTCCCCCGCCACCTTGCCTGTAAGAGAATGTGAGCGCAGGCTGCTGGCACTGCCATTGCCACCAGGTTCCCAGGCATCCCTGCCACCCTAGTACCTCCAGCCAGCTGGAAGGCAGAGCTGAGCACGTCCAGAGAGCACACAAAGAGGTACAGGAACCCAAACATCAGGGGCACCTTTAGAAGGGAGACACAGAAGGACTGGACCCTGGTCCAGCACCCGAGCTCTGTGCAAGACAAGAGAGAGTGTTAAACTCCTGCTATGGCATGGCCCTGGCTCCCCAGGCTCCTACAGGCTTACGCCGCTCTCATGGCTCCTGGCAGCACAGGGCTCATGTCCTTAGCTATGCCACCTCTCAGATCCCCTTCATCTCTTCCCACCCTGGAGTGACTTGTGCCACCTGCCCCATTGTCCCCACATCACCCCAGGACATTGAGAGTCTCTCCACCAGCACTCCCCTCCCAACCTGGCACCCCACAGTCCTGGCACCCCGAGTGCCCCAGCTGCCTCTGTCAGATCTGGGGTGTTCCCCAGCCCAGGTGGGGGTGGGGGTCTCACCTGGCCTCTGCAGCTCGTCCAAGCCCAGCCGGTGGCCCTGCCAGGACAGCGCGTCCAGCTCGTAGCGCTCGCGGCCCTCGCGCAGCCGCCCCGGGGAGCCGGGGCAGGGGAAGCCATGGTCAGGGCAGGGCACAGCGCTGACCGTGAAGGGGCAGCTGTGGGCACCCGGCAGCCGGTGCAGGGCTGGGGAGAGAGGGCACCTACATTACAGCCCTGTCCTTGCAGGGACCTCCCTGCAGAGGAGAGCCCAGCACTGCCTGGGCCAGGGTCTGGCCAGAAGCAGAGCAGAGGAAGAGGAGGAGGAGGAGGAGGAAGAGGAGGGTTGGGGGCACCTACCTTGGGGGCTGGGGCAGTAGGCGAACTGTGGCCCGTGCACAACCCTTCCTCCCCGCACCGGGCAGCGACCGGGCAGGACTGGGCTCTCTGTCCGGTAGGGCAGCATCGCTCCTGCTGAGGCTGAGCAGAGGTGGCTGTGTGTCACCAAAGCTGTGCTGCACCAGCTGCCATGTCCCCCCAAATCTCTGCAGTGCTGGCACCACCAAGGAGCACCATCCCATCATCTGTCGGTCCCCTGGGCCACCAGCTGCTGCTGTGCCACCCCATCGAGCTCCCAAAGGGCAGGCAGGGCAGGCAGGGCAGGCAGGAAGGGGACTCGTCCTGCCCAGGGCCCAGCTCACCTGGGGCTGGCCGGGCACTCAGGGCAGTGCCACTTCCACATGCCACATGCACGCGTCCCTCCGGCGAAGTGGCCCGCGGGGCACCACGGCCCTTTATACACCGGCCAAGAGCAAAGTCTAAGGAGCCCCGTGTCGCCCCTCGCCTCCGCTGGCTGATCACCTCCTCCCCAGAAATTCCTGCAGTTAATGGGTAACCCCCACCACATCCCGCTCAGCTGCGGCCCCGGCGGGATGGGGCACGTGCCCCCGGGGTGCTGCACCCCCTGAGCGGCACCGCTGTGCTGATGAGCACTGCTGGGGCCTGGTGGACAGGAGGTGATGCTGGAGGAGCCTCAGTTCTCCATCATTTGGTGCCAGGTGGTTCCTCTGC